GGTGGTCAAGTCAAACCTTGACGCAATTTTCAACAGCGATATTAAATATTTTACGAATATTTTGGTCATTCATTTTGACTTGTATTTAACGGACATATTATGTTAATTTTTTTTTTTTTTTTTGGAGTTTATACATAAAAGTGGTCGACCCTGTAGCGAGCTGCGTGGCTTTTCAGCGATTTCCTACGCAACGTTCCGTTCCCATAGAGCGATTAAATCTATGCACCGTTGCCGACCCTCCGTTAAACATGATCGCCCCTCGATGCGCATTGCTGCGGCGGTCACCCCTCTTTTTTCACTAAATTTTTTTCCCTAGTATCCTATAAAAAATCAACTTCATTCCAAAGGATAATATTCCGCGCTGTAAAATAACCTTCTGCAGTTCGACCGTTAACAATTACGATTTTCAGATGTATTATTTCCACGGATACTACTATGTCGTAACGATGCTATTAATAAATGGTACTGCAGCAATTATAGCTGTAAATAATTGTAATTAATAACTTCGATTACTACTTGCTTATTAACTTTTTATTTTAATAAGATCGAGAGCAGGTAAGGTCGGTATATAATATTGTTTAGTTCGCGAATAACATAGTTTCGGCGGAAATTGAGCTAGCATGAAAAAGAAAAAAATTGTTCGATTAGATCAACTACGGCGCTGTTAAAGGACTGACTAATAATTTGCTTGTAACTCGTTATTCAATGCGACCTCAGTTTTTCAAGCACGCAGTCACGAGAAACGTGGCAACCTCGGTTGACGTACAGTGTCGTGCAAACGTATTACTGTATTACGTACAACCACGATACTAGCAGGTGTAACTAGGGCGCGAAGCTGAACAACCATTTCGCGATATAGTTGCATGGTGTTATGAAAACAGGTGCAGGTATACCCGATTCTTGCTCTACGACGTCCAGTTTAGACCGACCGGACTGTTGTTGACACACCATCCCCGGTGAATCATTCCAAGGATAAAGGAGATTCAGACAAAAGAACGACCAGCGGAAAATAAATACATACTTCGAAACGTTACTCTCGGAATCTATTACTGCGGACCATTATCAAAGTAATTGGCCCTTTATAAACAATGTGACGTGTAATATGCAACAATAGAATGCAAACAGGGTGAAGTATTCGTCACTATTGAGAAGATTATATAGCTAGAATGTATGTCACCACATTATGATGATTAACATATAAAGTTAAATCCTTTGTATCTTTTCATATATTTACTATCAGTCGACCTTTTCTGCCGATCAGCCGAGAAATGGAATAATATAGTTCGAGAAGTACCCGTTTGAAATATACTATCCTAGTGTCGCTGAAAAAGTAACATCACCATTGTTTTCCAGAAAGATTTAGGGTTCTTGAGCAATTAACGAAAACACAAATGTATCATACTATATCTGCATGAGAATCAAAACTGCAACCAGTTGGCAAAAATGCAAACTGCTGTCGGAGCTCGACATTCTTGTAATGGATATATCCTGACGACCACGCAGTCGTAATCCACACACGTAATAAAAGGAACAACGGATGGGGAGTACAGGGAGAGGCAGCACGTTGCACAGTCATCACCGTTACACGAATGCGCAGGCGCACGAAGATCGTATACACGTTTTTTTGCACATAAAATAGAAATTGTTAATTCATACTATCTTATACTAAAGTAATTTAAAGCTTACTTCATCTTAACATTATCGACAATTTAAAAAATACGAAACGTAATGTGAAACACGCGTTCAGCAAAGTTTTATTCCTACGTGTTCTATCGTAACAACAATTAACAAGTTACCACCGTTTCTCAAGTTTGTTCACCACAAAAATATTTCACATGATTGAAAACGTACAAGCACAAAATATATTTTTTGATTAACCAAATGTCAAAAATGTTCTTCTATTGGCAAAAATGTTTCTTACTCAATCGTCTTTTTTCGAATAACCTGCTGACATAACCCTCTAACAGAATGGACAGTGTATCGCAAAGGTAGTAATCTATATTATCGACCAACATCTAAATGTGCGGGAAGTTTGAATAAAGGAAGGTCAATATATAGCACTTATCGATTCATTCTGAGTTAACAAATGATACTTGTCACATTAGTAAATTAACAAATTATTAACATCACAAAAGATACTTTCTAGGGTATACAGTTATTTAGTATAACTCTCCCTATAACATGCGAACGGCCACCATCATCACCATTATAATCGACACTTCAACCCCTCGCGGGTACCATGATAAAATCGTCACGCTACTTTAATCAGGAACCCGCAGGAAGTTCCATGTAAGTTCTCATCGAAACACACGTGGGTACGAATATGTTGAGCTTGAGTGCACAAGCTAACACTTGTCGCTTATGTGCAGGTTATATCATTTTTTTTCAAACGTTTCCGTGATTCACAATGTAGTTTTCAGACACAACATTATGAAAATAAATGTCGACAAAAATGTATACGTTTCCTCACTTCTTCGAATAAACTAAGTATTAGATAGTCAATTCACCATCAGATGCTAAACAATATTCAATCGCAAAATGCTGTCAATATACATAATTCTTTACCTGATAGTAAAAAAAATAGACAGTATCGCTTTTAAATAACGCATACAGGCATTTGCAACATTTGTCTCAATAGAAAATGATTTAAAACATTCGTTTTTTAAATTTTTATAGGCGTATAACTTTGACATTAATGTAACACATGTAAAACCAACAGATAAGAAACTAATACACTATCCAAAATGGAATAATATAGACCAGTGGAGACACCACGTGTCCAAACCACGTGGCTGGGTGTTAGGTTATTTCACTTGGCGGGAGGTCAATAGATGAACGCTTTTTTCTTTCCTGACATTTTTTTCACGTGTATTTAAAAATCATGCGATACAGATGTAACGAAGATGTAACTTTTGGAAGCATGTTAGTTATTTGCATCTATAAATTTACATGATGAAACAAGTGTATATATTTTATGCGTATTACGAGAGATAGCTGTTGAGAAATTATACAACACAATTTTGTAAGCTAGGTACAATCTTTGTTCAAGTATGTCTATATCTCAAAGATAACAACGAATCCCTGTTTGAGATAACTTGGCTCGACGAATAACGGTAAATGTGCACTTTGAATTCTTATACGATGTACTCACAATTCTAATCTTTTGGCAAAAAAAAATATATATATATGAATTTAATGATTTTCAAGAAATGGAAAACACTGTTAAAGAAGCAAACAAATCCAAATGGGATACAAATAGTTGAACAAAATTTTGGATCACCCACAAAGTTGAAGACACGGAAATAAAATTCACCTCAAAAAGTAAATGCTTTCATGAATTTTTAAAATAATTCTGATGATATTTCACACAGCATTAAACGAAGACGATGAAAACATATCGAAGCGAATCGCAAAACTGCAAGTGGAAGCATAGGTTATAAATACATCACAATTATGCACAATGCACCTGTAATACGCTGATATACGTGTATGTCACCATCTACTCCACTTCCATCCACAAACTTACTTAATCGCAAGGCCTTCTTTTATCGATTACGAACAATTTGCACAACCGAATAGCGTTTTCTTACTCCTTTCTATTTTTTTATACACCCCGATGTAGCACAAGTTACATAATTTTTCACCACGATATAAGAACGGAGAGATTAATTAACGCACGCAGTGGTGACACTGTCGACTGCCGACCGAAAGGCACATTCTGACACGTGCTCGAACTCGAGGCTGTGGCACTGATCCGATCTCGCGCGTTTACGGAGACGAGTAAGGTATGTGTACACAACTCACCTGTTATGGTATGTGGTAACGATTGCAATCTAAACCGAAGGCTATATTAGTCAAATGAGAAAATACGATATAGACGGGGGAAATCACTAAGAGGAAGTGAACACGAACGACAGTAACAATGACGCTCCCTCATGAGGGAAGCAACTGCAAAGGTATTACTGAGACTAGGGAACTAGCAGCTGAATGAACACAACAAGGGGGAGGATGGCCGGCGGATGGACGAACGAACGACTCGACTCGAGTCGAGTCAGCCTCGACACCCCGGGGCGTATCGGCGCCTATGGGCAGCGCCATGTCCGACCGCGACACACGTTCGAGAGAATAAAAAAGACAGAGAGGGGGAAAAGAGAGAGAGAGAGAGAGAGAGACAAAGTGCACGAGGAAGACAGAGTGATTCCAAGAGACGAGGGAAGGAGAAGGGAGAGAAGATTTACGCAACCCTCTCTCGCCAAGCGAAAATCCACGTCGAGAGGCACGCTGTCGTCGATGCGTCGATAAGCCACGTAGTATCCTCCTCCTTATGCGTACTTCACTTTTTTCCATGTTTTTCCGAGAAATTGCGAAACTAACCTCTTTCTTTTTACCCTGTGAACGTTTTCTTTCTCTGTTCCTCTTACTTCGTTAACCCTTCCTACGTGTACATACACAATATCGCACCGTGGCGCGCACATTCACACACATAAACGTGAGCGTATAAACATATGAAGCACTGGCAAACACTTTTGATTCAAAGTACACCACACAGCAACTGGGATGACGATGATGACGACGACGATAATGATGACGATGACAACGATAGCGAGGGTGATAGTAGTGATGGTGATGTCGACGACGAAGACAGCAACAACGATAACGAAGAACACACGACACGAATTGTGAAATGAAGGGAACGAGGGGCGAATAAAACGAGAGGCAAAAAGCGAAAGATAGATGCACAAATAAAAAGGGAGAAAGCGCTAAGAAAGTGAGAGAGAAAGAAGCGTCCTCTCTTCGACACTGGTAATATCGATTCATAGGGTAAGCACGATGGCAACGACCCTACCTGGTTTGATGAAATGAGCTCGAGGCGCACGAAACGTTTTCACCTTATCGACACCGCCCGGTTTTTCCCGATGACACCCGAGTTCGATAGCAGCACGATTCTACTTAATACACGATACTTTTGAAAATTTACACTATACACCACGTCGACTTACCTTGGCATCCTGGGATGCGGCTGATTCGACGACGGGGTGAGAGCCTCTCCACCGAGGACGTACGACTTCGCCCGTGCAGCGCTAGGACGCCATGTCATCAAGTCGAGGCGCGGACTCGGGGCAAATCGCGCATATACACACCGATAGAGAGAGCGCACGAACACCACGTAGCTGACCAACCCGGTGCCTGCCGTGCTGGGAATTCCTGCTGCGCCACCGAACGGCCGTCACGGAACCTCGCCTACGCCCGCCTAGCGCCACGACCGTGCTTTCCGTTCGTGGTACCCTTCACCGCTTTGCAACGCTCACGACACCCGCCCGTTTGCGCGCCCTCGTTCAACCGAACCACCGAAGTTGAGCCGCGCACAACCTCCCGCAATCCTACCACCGCCACCTACCCAATAGTCCCCACTACACCCTTCACCCTCTCCTTATATCCCCCACCTTCTCACCCTCCTCGTCACGCACTCCTCCCTTCCCTAGGTCTGCGACACCCTCTACTCCCTCTCGCCTCATCCTGCGCGTTTCGTCCTTCTCGGTTCCCCTCTCTCGCACTCACACTTCTCTAATTTCTCTTTCTTTCTCGCACTTTATCTCTCTCGCACCGATTCTCCCACTCTTTCCTTAGCCCGCAAGGAACGAATCGCCTGATTTCTTTCTCTCTCCTACTAACCATCGCCTTCTCTTTCTATCTTCTTCGAAACCTACACAAACGCAATCTCTCTCAATTCGTCTTCCTCTTTCTTGCTCCTCACCCTCGATCACCCTCCAAAAAGGGCACTTATTTTCGCCCCTTTGTTCTCACGGTTGTGACCAACTTCTCCTTCTCTCTACCTTTCCTTAAACCTACCATCTCCCCTTGCCTATACGCCCTCGTTCCTCGGGCTTCTTTCTCGAACACACCCTCTCCCTCTCTACCTCCTAGCTACTTCTTACGTCGTGTTACTGCGCACTCGTTCTGGCAAAGTCGCCACGAGCTCGTGCAACTACTCGCAAAGTTGTTACCCATTGACGACGTCATGTGCGGTTCCAGCGGTTGCGACAGTCGCTTATCGCTTGTCGTATTATTTTGATAAAGGAAAATGCGGGTTAAAGGGGCACGGAGTTTCTGTTCAAGTTTTTAAAATAGAGCCACACGGATTATGTTACGGACTTGCAACGTGATATCTCATTCATCTTTCTTTTGTTATTTTTTCCTTCTATTTGTCGTTAATGTGATTTTAAATGTTAAAGAAAAAAAGAGATTAAAGCTATACGGTAAGCAAAGGGCAAGGATGACGATACATCCAATTGTTGAACAGAGATTCGTAATCGAGAACTACGTTTCGTTTCAGGGATGATCGAGTAGAAAAATACCAGGGGTTGGGCATAGGGGGCTTGGAAAGAAACTCACGAATGTAATAAGACGGCTGTGGAGGAGATGCGTTGCGAGTTACACACGCAACCACGATTTGCGTCTGCGCACTTTTTTCTGTACAGACTCGCCAAGTAGTAGTGAATGATAGAAAGAGACAAACGCTCTCCGCCACGAGGCTGTTTCTCAACTTCTGAGCTGCAAATGTACAAGTACCAACCACATTTGCGTATCCTGGTAGTAGTTTGTCGCTGGTTCAGCTTCCGCTTCGTACCTCGAGGCTTGTTGCGTATCCGTGGACAAGAATCCGAGTGTCGTCACGTTGCTATGGAAATAAATGCACCTTCGTCTGATTTCCTCGTTGAATCAATGTGTGTTGGTTGCGTGTCGTCACCGGAATCGTTGCGCTACGCTGACGGCACCTTGACACGTTTACCCCGACACGCGTATTCTACACCACTACAATAATGTCGAAACGACTTCATTATCGGAAGCTTTTATTATACGATGCTCACTATCTTTATCGATACGATCGATTTAAAACGACGAAAGAGCCGAGTCACTGATTGTTTCCCGCGCTTTTACTTTGTACTCCCTTAAACGTAATGTCGAGTGCAGAAATTGAAGTAAAATATGAACGATGAAAATTCGGTTGGTACTTCAAACGAAAAATACATATATGTATCGTATACCACGAGGTAACGCGTTTCCAACACACGAGGGTTGGCTGGAAGCGATACGCGGGGCGCTGCCGCGGAAGGATCCCCACGGATCTTTTCGGTCGACTGATAAAAAGGCTTGAAGCTGCCTTGTCGCGATGGACGAGGCGTATACGGACAAAAAAAGTCGCTGGAAGGGGAAGCTCCGGAGAGTCTCAGAGTCGGGCAGGGGAGAACAGAGCACGCGGGAACGGAGGGATCGTCTGTCGGTGGCGGAGCTGAGGTGGGGGCGGTAGGTACGGCGGGGACGGTACCAGCGGTGACGGGGTAAAGAGGTAGAGACATACACGTAGACAACGTGGGTCGGGGTAAAGGGGAGCTATCGCC